ATGACTATTGAAATAACATATGAGATATTGAAATAACAGAATTTGAATTCTCATTCTTGGGTTCATTTGGAATTCATGGATTATAATACTTCTTTATATCGAACGACGCGTGGTAATGAATACTCTCTACAACGAAGGTTATCAATCCTTCTCAACTCTAGGATCAAAAGTTGTTAAAAATCGACCCCCTTCTGATTTTATTACAAAAATCGACCCACTTTCTGGCCATGTCAGCATCGTGGCCAGAAAGTGGGTCGATTTTTTTAAACGCGGTGCTAAATAGTCGGGGTTGCCAACCCCGACTATTTTGGAGGCCGTTGTTAATTTGCATGCTAAATTAGTCGGGGTTCGAAACCCCGACTAATTTAGCAGGCATTTAAATTGGTCGGGGTTGGGAACCCCGACCATTTCGAAATCCTAATTCAAAATGGTCGGGGTTCCCAACCCTGACCATTTCCTTTTAGGTCGAACGAAGATGTGTTTTTGAGAACGGGCAGCTCGACGATAGCCCAAGGAACGAGCAGGAAGACGAGGCAGCAGAGGGAGACGTAGTACAAGGAAGTGATGGGGTTCAAGGAGACCCCTTTGGAGGTGAGCAGGATCTGGATCAGGACCAGCCTGGTAGTCTCGAAGGGCGACGATGGCGAGCTGGAGGGCGACGCTCCGGGGGTCAAAGCAGGCCTCGTCGTAGGTGGCGAGATGGAGAGCATGTTGGCCATAGTGGAGGACAAGAAGGGCTCCTTCCTGAAGAGGACGCCGAGGGAGTAGACGGCGACCGGCATCAGGGCCTTGAGCATCTGGATGAAGGAGACAGAGAGGTAGACATAGGCGGAGTTGGAGAACCAGAGGGAGAGGGAGTAGAGGGTGCCGATGGGGACAACAGAGGAGACGTAGAGGTCACGAAACATCGGGGGGAGGCCGGGGGCTCGATGACGCGGAGCACGCGGATCAAGAGGAAGTCGAGGAGGAGCAGAAGAACATGTGGATGAGGGTGAGGGAGATTGAGAAGGGGAAGTTGTACATATGGATGAATTTGGATTTCAAAATGGTCGGGGTTCTTAACCCCGACCAATTTAAACATGTGCTAAATTAGTCGGGGTTTCAAATCCGGACTAATTTAGCATTAGCCTCCAAAATAGTCGGGGTTGCCAGCCCCGACTATTTAGCATTGCGTTTAAAAAAAATTGACCCACTTTCTGACCACGATGCTGACGTGGCCAGAAAGTGAGTCGATTTTTGTAATAAAAACAGAATGAGGTCGATTTTTTAAAAAAAATTATGAATGAGTTTATTTAGAAAATTTCTTCTATTTTATTCTTTTTACTTCTCAAGCTGACACTATAGTTATCAACTAATCATTCGTTACTACCGACTCAAATGTAAGTGACACATTCCATAGTGATCTAAGATGGACTGAGTTCTTATTTATGTTCCAACTTTCACAGAAAATGTGAAGTTTACCTTAACACTGGATCTCATGAGTCCATGTCTTTTATGGGAAAATTTCACAAAGCCCCCATACTGGATCTCATGAGTCCATGTCTTTTATGAGAAAATTTCACAAAGCCCCCATAAGTTAGGGGGGGGGGGTCACAAACCCTCCTGAAATTTGTCAATTTAAATAGTAAAAATGTGAGGCAAAGTCAGGAATATTACAGTTATACTTTCCTGCATTTGATGTATCCTGGTTAACGAAAATTGAATAGGCCTAAAAAAGAAAGAAACTTTGACCAAACAAGATAATCTTTCATTCACTAGTAATAGTGTCCTGCATTTGATGTATCCTGGTTCACGATAATTGATAATAAAAAAAAGAAACTTTGACCAACAAGAAAATCTTTTGGTCATTAGTGGTGGGTAAATTTCAGATAGACCTCCTATATTTGATCTAGAATCTAATGACCCCACTATATTTATGGGTGGTCATGCTGTATACCATATTTTTCTACCAGATGTGACTCCATAACACTGTTAATTGAAATGACTAATTTTCTGGAATACCCTTGAACCTTTATATAATTTGCCAACCCAACCATAGCCTATGCACAAGCCCATCACTCCACTTATACTGATTCTATATCCCAAATCCCATATTCAAGTATATTCCTTCTCCACCATGCCATTTCCTGCCCTGAACAGATACTTTCTAACAACAAGACACATTTAACAGTACATGACAAAGGAATTACTTTTGGGAGGTTTAAGTGTCATCCATCAACTTAAGATTTAAAAAATAAGGGATAAATATTGAACTTTGAATAACAATTCATGAAAATTCTTTCTACTCCTTTTCGATATCAGCAACTATGTTACACATGAACGTATAAATGGTTTCATCAACCACAGACGGGAATGTACCAATCCCTTTAGTTTGCAAAATCTAGAATCAATCCAGTAACTTGAAAAAAAGACAAAGTCCATTTCACATGGTAGAGACTGAAAACATGATGAATTAAGAAAGAAGTGCTGCTGAACATGATGCATTTAGACTATGGGTCAAGATTGTAGACACTTCAACAAATTGTTTGCAGGCATGTCATCAACATAGTGAATGGAACCCGGTCTGTTCCAGTTTACGGGATGGAAACGGGAGTGTGATGCACCACTTATTAGGAATCGGGTACAAGAGGGATAGGCTTATATGGTGCGCTAGAGAACATGGTATGTTTTAGGTTCGGTTTTTAAATGTAGGAATCTGAGATTTTGCAAGAGGAAAAATCTAAGAAACGTGCTAGTTTATATCAATGAACCTTAAGGATCACGCTGCAATTAAGGTATCAGGTATGCGTACTTTATGTGCTTAATTTCTCATGCTTTTTGTAGTTTATTCTTTTGAAAAAGAGTTATTTTTTCAACCTTTTAACTGATTTGAACTCTAAATAGGGTTGCTAGAGTTGGTGAACCGGCTCGTGCTCTCCCGCAGATACAGGACGATTGAACCCAGAGATACAGGACGATTGAACCCAGATCGTGGTTTGCTATAACGCCCCATGTACAACTAATGTTGTGAACATCACATAAACATATAAGTGTGCAATAGGAAGTTTTAAGTTCCATAACTAAATCAAATTAAATGCAAACAAAGCAAGATTAACGGTAACCCATCAAGGGATAACTTTTTTTCTTTTTCTTCTCCGTAAGAAGAAAGAATATTACACAATTTCACATAGACGAGAAAAGTGCAGCACCTTGGTAGCACCAGAATCCAAACTATTACATGTTAACTCCTCCACAACTCTTGGCAAATCAAATAAAATCACGCTTGACCGCAGGGAATTGCAGACACCTCTTTGCAAGCTCTTTATCTTATTCATCTGAAAAAATATTGAAAGAACGAGAATTTGATCAGAAAACTTATGAAGAAACGGGAAATAAATTGCTGTTGGATTCCGAATGCAAAATCGAGAGTAGCTCAAGAACAGTTTCTAGGTTGTGAGAAGAACTCATTTTAGCAAGGATCGCAATTTCTAAAGAAATCGCCCAAATTGTCGGAAGAAATCAAATGCAACCACAGTTATATGACATTGTAACAGGTAACCCTACAATTTAATAGGTATTCACAGAAATCAAGAGCAAGAAACCTAATTAAGCAAATCAGCAAGAATTAGGAGCAATTACTGCTGAAAAACGAAGAAAGGAAGAAGCTTTCACCTGTACGAATGAAATGGAAACGATCGAGAAATTTAGGGTTTCGCTTCTAGGATTTCTTTGGCGGGCTCTTATCTTCTCCTCGAGCTTCGAAACTAGAGAATGGCGGTGGAGTTCATCGGTGCTCAGAGCACCTGAGCTCGTGTAAATGACCAGATTACCCCTCTAGGCCGGTTTCTTTGGTGCTTCTTCGACCGCCGCTTGAGAATTTGCAATTTGCATTTACTGACCCGTGGGTTGAAATTTATCTTTACATTTTGGTAGAGAGAATCATAAAAGAAAATAAAAGAAATTTATTTATGTTTTACTTTAAGGACCTGTTCGGTTGATTTCCTAGAATCAAAGAAAAAGAAACAGGGTAAGGGTATCACTAAGGGGCTGTTTGTTTTGTTATTTTTGAGAGGTTTTAAGAGTGGAAAGCTGACATTTTCTGACAAAATGTCTGCTTTTTACTCTTAAAAAAATTACCCAAACGCGCCCTAAAACTTGTCTTCCACTCATTTCCTTAAAAAAATCATAACATTAGTTTTCTTAAAATTGTGCCACATGCTCCAATAAGATGATGACAACTCATCTCATATATTCTCTTTTCTTAATTTTAGGAGGTGAACCAAACAAAAGAAAGGTGTCTATTATAGAAAATAAATTTCTCATAATAGATTTTCTTTTTTTTTTAACCAACCGAACAGTCCATTAGCTTCCCAAAAGTGCAAGCAAGGTTTGGGAGTTAAAATTGAAACTTTTACGGTAAAACAAACCCTTTCTTTTGGAAATGACATCTATATCTATGCAATATATAAAGAGAAGTCCTCCTTTTAATTTGTTGAGCCGATTTCTAAAATGCCAAAAGTGCTGCCATAGTTGAACAAATTACAGAAATACCCCTCACTCGGAAAAAGATTACAAGGTCTTGCACTAGAAAAAAACTCAAATACCCTTGGGAAAAAAACACCAAGTAAACTAATAAAAACATTGAACAATTTTTCACTGTAGACCCAAACAGATTTTTTATTACCAAAATCGACCGAATTTTTTTTTAATTACCAAAATCGACCCGTTTTATGCCACATAAGCGTAATCCCATTTCCTAATTAGTCGGGGTTGCCAACCCCGACTGTTTAGGAGTTGTTAAACCCCAATTAGAAGCCTTAAACCTGATTTAATTAGGGTTTAACAACTCCTAAACAGTCGGGGTTGGCAACCCCGACTAATTAGGAAATGAGATTATGCTTACGTGGCATAAAACGGGTCGATTTTGGTAATTAAAAAAAAAATCGGTCGATTTTGATAATAAAAACTCAGTTTGGGTCTACAGTGAAAAATTGTTCTAAAAACATTTCGTTCTTCTGACAATTCAGCATTCCTCCACGTTCCATGTCATTCACACATCGTGTGAACCAGGAGACTAGGAAATAAGGTAAACTAGAGTACATGATGTTGTTATATATATGGAGATTCTTCATTCACTAGTCTTAAATGTTTGCAACATGGAAGAACATAATATACAGTCCCAAGTGGATTCAAGGGGGGGGAAAATTTATTTGCAGCATAGAATAATTTAATATACAACTCCTAGCGGATTTAATAAAACAAAACACTGCTTCACGACTCAAATTTCGGCACATAAAAGGACTCTCAACCTATTTTGACTTCTCTCCTATTCCCCTCGTTCTCTTAATCATACACTGACTCCGAACATTCAACAACCTCTCCCTGTCATTACTCCTTTCTTCTTAAATATACTAAGGCGTTGGAGAACTTAATAATGTCAATTTAAGTTTACAAAGGCGTTGGAGCATACTCACACACAAGCACAAGGCAGTATTTTCCTTTAACCCTATATAAAACGGAAAAAAAGTAAAGCATCCTGAGAACAGAAAGCCTAAGCGTTATAGTTCAAATATGGAGAAGTTTTTTTTAAATTGACTACTTTTAATATTTAATTAGCAAAATCGGCTTAAAACTTTTTTACTAAGCAAAATTGACCTACTTCGGGTCATGTTAGCACACACCTAGCTAAAAATTGGTTAGTGTTGCAAAATATAATTTTTGAAAATATGCGGGACTAATAGTCCCGGTCAGTCGAATTAAAAATCGGTGGTTTTAATGAAACACCAACAATTTACTGAGATCTAGAAAACCTCACTCTTTATGGGGCCCAATTTAGCGGGTAAGATACTAAGTCCTTAATTTTTATAGGCGGGCGCGTTGGGCCCCACAATCGAATTTGTGACTTGAGATTTGCAAGGAATTATTCGAAAGCTAATTCTGAGACAAATTTATGATTAAACACAACTAACTTATAAAGATTAAATTTTGTAAAATCACCTAGCTTCTACCCACTCGTATTGATAAGACTCAAAACCGGTCGCTTTTGCTAGTTTAAATATTTTTGGGGTTTGATTTTGCTACTTTAATTTAAATAACGGTCCAAATACGGGTCACAACCACTTCCAACAAAATGCGTACTCAAGGGAATGGTAATGGATACAATATAGTAGCAAATAATGGTGAATACACGACACACGGTATCTGCAATAATCCGTCATCAACGAACAGATTCCGCTCGCATCGAACAGAGATCACATGGGGCATAACAAGCACCCAAAATGTCAAATACTTATTCACCAAACAATCGGAGAAACCTCCAGAATCCATTCCAACTATCACCGAACAAAGAACTCGCAAAACTGAAAATGCAGCGCTACCGTCAAATACTTATTCACAAATAATAATGAATACAATACAGTCGCAAACAATAATGAATACACAACATAAAAGAGTGCCAGCAAAAATCCCTCATCAACAAAGAAATAATCAACTCCCAACCAACAAAGATTGCATGGGCATAACAAGCGTCCGAAACGTCAATGTGGACAAAAAACACCCTCGTCAAATATATATCTCATGAACAAGTGAACTGCTGTGTATACAAGAAACCGATCCATAAACAAACCCGTCTTTTATATTTCCACATATAATCGAACACTCCGATATTGAAGTCACCAACAACTGGAAAAAACCTCTAGAAAGCATTCCAACTATCAGTACTTCTCCTTGGAGTTTCTGATGACCATTTGGGTGTATCTGAGGACCATTTGGGTGTATCTGAGGACCATTTCGGAGTTTCGGAGGACCATCTCGGCGTTTCCGAGGTCTTAAAAGGTCCGGTAGACCCAAACAGGTCAGTATCATCAAATGATGAGAAACCTCCACCATACTCAGAAGTGCTTCGCATAGAATCAAATCGTTGAAGACTACCAAGTGGAGGGATACTACTATGCATTGAGTCAAACCCTTCAAGGCCCCCAAAAGGAGCATCACTAGTGCTTCTCATTGAATCAAACCTAGCAAGGCTCGGAGTGCTTCGCATTGAATCAAACCTCGAAAAGTCACGTGTTGGAAATAATCCTCCATCACTCATGTTGAAGGAATCGAATCGACTGAAAGAATGGTCTTCTGAAGCTTCGTTGAATCTTGGTGAGAAGCTAGAGTTGTATAGTGGAGTACTTGGAACAGAATCGAAAAATGGGCCTTTCTTGTCTGCTCCATAGACACTTTCGGCACTTGGAGACCCTCCTGTCCTAATTGGGTTGAGACCAAAGTCTCCAGGACCGAAGAAAGAATCATGTAGACTTCTGTCATGATCAATCTCCTGCAGTGAGTGGTAAAGAGTAAAGCGCATGAGAGAGGTGTTCACTGAAAAATTATTTGTACAAGAGAATATTCTAAATGGTTTACCTTTGTGTTTGTTGAACTAAAATCCCACACAGAATCAGCATCGTCGGTATCAAACTTTGCACCCCATGATGGTTCATCAGGAAATTTGTCTCCAGATATTGTGGATTCAGCACCACCATGATCACTGCACCACATATAATTAATTCTATAGCAGTTTGAAGTATTACATAAAGCATGAACTAGCTAAAGAGAAGAGTATATATTTACTATTAGTGTTTGCACAACTTCAATGCATGATATCATATCTAGTTATCTTTAAGCAACAAATTCCATAAGGAGTGTTGAATTAGGTAGGCCAGAATGTACGACCTGCAGAGAGCTGGGATAAAAGCCTTTCTTCTTTTGTTTGATGTTGTTATTGCTCCACAAAATTGCAGTCAAATAACTCATAAGGTACAAAAAGTTGTTTATTTAGATTGTACGGTTTGAGGTTTGAGGCACCACACGGAGGTAAACTTAACTACTCCTAAGATGACTGTGCACATCTTCCTAATATCTTCCATTATTTACTATATGAGGTTTATCAGTTGAAGTTGATCAAAAAATAAGGAAATATTTCTGTAATTATTAGTACAAGTATTTGTTCAAATTCGATTCAAAGAGCATTTATACTAAATGTACTTTTTGATGTTCATATAATTTATGAATCACGTATCTGATCCTTTTTCTGTTCAAATATCAAATGTGTTCCTATTTATATTTTTTGATCTCCCTGACATACTTTAACGTAGGACTCCCTCCCACCTAGCGGGGAACACATTTCGGTGCAAACCGAATAACTAACCGAACCGACCAAATTTCCACGATTCAGTTTGGTTTTAGAAAAACTTCGGTTTGGTTCAGTTCTAAAATATTTGAAACCGAAATAACCGAACCGAGCTCTAGACATAATTGCCTAAAAATATGCTCGTTCAAGATGAATAGATAAGTCACACTAATATTTTATAAATGCTTGATTTTAGTTTGTATAGTCATTGATTTGATGAGTTTTCTCTTCAATTTTATGAGATGAGTGAAATATTTGGGAATAATAGTCTTCTCTTTTACCTAATAATTCTTTAACTATAATAATTCTTTAACTATACATATCTAAACTGAACCGAACCACCGATTTGACACGGTTTGGTTGGTTTTGAATCTAGCTCGGTTCGGTTCGATTTAAAAAAAGTAGTCAAAACTGACCGAACCAACTGTTTGCTCGCCCCTACCTCCCCCCTCTCTTTCACTTCAACAGATAATTCTCAGATCAAAAATTTTAATCAGATATTTCACCTACTGATTTGTACATCACATTCGTATAGGATTAATTTTCAAATATGAATTTAAATACTGTTAAAAGAATGATATTCTTTAATGAATTTGAAGATCTTTCTAATCAAGTAATTTCAGTCATGATCTATGTAATATAAAAAATTCAATTAAATATATTTTAGTATTTAACAAATATCTGAAGGAAACTTATATTTGAATTCATAATCATTAATTTTTATTTGGACTCAAAATTTTACACAAGTACAATTTGACCACAAAAATATTTGGTCTGATTCAATTCCAACCGTAATGAAAGCTAAGCTAAAATAAGGATACGAAATCAAATTCCTTATTGAGCATATGAGGTCTTCTATTCTTAATGTTTGCCATCAAAGACTTCTATCTAGGGTATGAATGGAGCATATTCTTTAAATACATCTGTATCACCAATAGTTTCACTAAAATTTTACTGCTGACTATTTCGATCCTCTTGGTTGGCGTCATATTTCTGGCAAAGGAAATTATGGGTCATATATAGCCTTGTCATCATCCAAGAAGATCAATTAACTAGCAGTGATATTCCAATCAAACTCATTAAACCAAGGAACCCAAAACAATTTTCCTAGACTAGAAGAGAGTCCAGAAAAGTAAAGGACAAATCTCTATCCAGAATTTCACCCACTGCTAAAGAAGAATATAAAGCCATGGAAATGCTAAATTTAACATACATTTTGCAGTGATCTTACATGCATGGATGGGGATATGGTACTTAATTATATGCTATATGCATGAAGCGGGCATACCTTTGACCATCTTTAGCATGGGGAGAAAGATCATGCATTCCATGCTGATTTGATTGACAATCGGGAGATGAGATCTCTAAAGCACTTCTTCTAGGACTCACATGAGGGCTTCTTGCCGAACCATCTTCACTGTGGGCATAAGTTGATTCATTTTCAGTGGCACGCTCCCCATTGCCAGAAGGGATCTCAGCCTTATCTTCTTCATTGGATGACATTGAAATGGTAGACACCTCATGTTTGCCAGACTCAGTCTTTTTCTCATCATTGGAGGACGAAGGAACAGTGGATATTTCTGCAGCAGAAGGTTTATCACTCCTAACAGGAGGCTGCTTGGGTTTGGCAACAGTATTTTCTACCTCAATTGTGAGCTCCTTTATAATTGCAAACCCTGAAAGGTGATTATGAAATGAAAAATCAATCACAACTCAATCAAAAAAATCATGCTATTTGACAATCAACTGTAAAAAAACTCACATCAAACACTAACCTAAACTTATAATGTAAGCACTCGATCGCAAAGAAAAAACATCAGAAACCAAGTAGAATTCAGAGCTGAGAGAAGTTGGGTAATCTTTCTAGAGATTGAGAATGTTTTTAAGTCTGGACTAGAAGTAGTTAGATGTTAGAACATGCAAAAAAGAAAAACACTGCTGTTTACTACATGTATGAAAGTATATATGCTTTGTTTCAGGACCCTGTAGAAATTATCTTGATCTTGCACTAACAAAAGTATTGTCAAAAATAACAGAAAACAAGAAAAACCATATCAGGACAAAATTATGATCTCTTCTACCATCAATGGAGCACACTCATGCTGTGTCGAAGACATTGTCCCGAAATTTCATGCTCATAAATAATTCAACTTCTCCTCAGTAAGTTAATAAGCTAAAGAAATTAGCATGAAGAAGAGGTCATGCTCCGGTGAATCAACAAGACATGGAAAGACATGATACTTATCCAACAACAGGAAAATTCAGAACAAAATTTGTTCATTTTCACCAGTGTCGATACTTATCTAGCAACCAAACAAAACCCATTTTCATTGTATTTCATATTTCATATTTTTAGTTGCAAACCAGTTTAAGTCTTCAAATTCCCACCCGTTGAGTACAGGTTGCATCCCTTTAGTGATTCAATAGTTATTAAAGACCAAAGTATATCTAACAAAAGTTTCAGCTTTCAGACATTGATTTAATAGTTGCAAACGGAAGATATGTTCTGATTTTTATTTTATTTTTTCCTTACAAAAAATGCTCAAAAAATGCCTAATGCCTGAAGGATGGGAGCTAGTATTCAGGATGGATATTGGGGATAGAGAAGGAAGATGAGGATAAAGATTGTGGGCCTTGTGGCAGAGGAAGGAGATAAGGACTAGTGGTGCTCGGATTGAATTACCCTTTCCCTGGTGGCTTTCAGAGTGATGGTTTGGGGTGAATGGAATTGATCATGCAAATTCAAAGTTAGTATTTTGGTGTTACAGGTTGAAACAAAAATGCAGAAGCCTAAGAGAATCAGTCTCACCAAGAACTTTGTATTAACGGGCTGAACATTCTTGTTCAGGCCATCTTACTGCAGTTTGAGTCAAGTTTAAGTGCTATGTAGAGTCAAAGTTCATTTATGTAGAGTCAAAGTTCAGGTATCAATAAGGCCCAAACTAACTAACTACTTTTTGCATCTTGATAAACAACATTTATAAGCAACATGGTAACTAATCTTGATTACAGGTAGAAAGAGCGTGGAAACACTGATCCAAATTGCTAAATTGGGTTCATCAAGGTAAGAGCAAGGACACAATTATAAACAAACAATTTACATGGTTGGGAAAGGTATACAAGTCATCAGTCTATACTTATACCCACTGCAATCATGCCTCGACACCCTTATCGGGATCACGGGGATGTGAAGCATTATGATTTATGAGAAGTATGGTATTGGCAAAAAAAAAAAAGTGACCGCAATACTTCCTTGCTATAGGCAAACTGTGACAGAAGAATGATAAGCATTGTGTCCCTGAGAATCTCAGTTGGACAAGCAGAAGGAGAAGACGAGAAGCAAGTAAGGAGAAACAAAATCAGTCATTTCCATATCTCTTGTCGCCTGATACTCTTTCTAACTTGCTTTTGTCAAATTGGAAGGATGACAATGATGAAAATAAAACCCATAAACTTTATTTTCTATACAAGTTCGTGCAAACACCATACCAACATATTAAAGCATAGTGATGGTGCCCATGATTCAGAAACATCATCAAACATTGAGTTTGGAGATTGCTTGAAAAAGACAATATATAAATATCAATCTTCAAATTGCTTAAAGGTTTCACAAGACAGTAAGTCATAAACATGAGTCAAAGTTATAGCTCTATGTAGACAGGACTACACTAGTAAACTGTCACAGCCAATCCAATTTACATAAGACTAGCATACTATACAATTCCAAGAAACTTCATAATTAAAAAAGCATTGCATTAGAGTTCCTACCTACAACATACTAACATTCAAAATTCTAATAAAATTACCTTCATCATTGAATTTGTCCCAGTCTTCATCCCAATCAGCAGCACTTTCTTGTACGCCAGGTTGCCAACCTAAAGAGCGAGGCACATAACTAAGAACAGTAAACTAAATATTATATATAACTTAAAAAGAATGTATAAGCAAAACCATGGTGACTGAACGCACCTGAACACCTACTACTAACTAGACAGACAGAATATACACATGATTTAACAATGATTGAAAGGTTTGCTACCCTGGTTAAATTTGAATAGCTTAAAAACGAGGAAGAATACACACATCATAAAAACTCAACCAGAAAAGCAAGGTTTAGATAAGTAATGCCTAAAGGCTGCGTTATAAACCACAATTCCTGATCTCCTATTTGGGATCAATACGGGACTTCAGCATTTTGGCAGTTACAGATCCGAGTTATCAAGTTGTTCGTATCAGTAGCTTTAAAAAAGATTAAAGAGTATATCAAAAGTACAAGATAACAATAATAGTAATTGCTAAAGTTATCCATGTTTTTTAGTAATTAATGAAGGATAAATTAAATATTAATTAGCACTTGTTAGGGCTGAGCAAATTTCAGGTTAAACCGGCTAAACTGACTGAACCGTCCATTTTTTTCCAGTTCGGATCAGTTTTTACATTTCATTCGGTTTGGATCAGGTTAGTTTCAATCAAACCCATATCCACCGAACCGACCCAAACCCAAAGTGCACCCATTTATCTACCTAACACTCTTATCTCACAATCCATGGGTCCCGTACATGCACCCCTGTCACTGATCCTACTCCCAACTAAACAGCTGTCTTCCATGAGAGAATGGATGGCTTTTAGTTGTCCCAGATGCCCAAAAAAGTATCTTCCCTCATGAACCACAAGGCAACATAATGCCAAACTAAATCCCAGCCGCTCTTTACTTTTGTTTTTTACACTTCTTTAACTTCACTTTCCTGCGGCCATAGGGAGGCTCTCGTCCTCTTGATCCCACTGCTTTGTGGCAAAGCTTGCAACAATCGAAAAAATCAACCGAACCGAGCCGAAATATCTCGGTTTGATTTGGTTCAGTTTCGTCCCCAATCCGGTTCGGGTTCGGTTTGGTTGAAAAGGTATAAAACCAACCGAACCGACATTTTTCTCACCCCTAGTACTTGTATAATCCAAAAGCTGCATGCAACAGTGCTTCCTAAATGGATAAAATATTTAATTATTAATCCAAATTACATGAACAATTGGAAAAGTTAAAAAATGTTTGGGAAAATCAACTACCAGTTGCTTCTTATTAATTATTTAACATGTATAGCAAGCCGTGATACGGTGCTTCTTTTGGATCGACAATGCATTTTTTAGTTGCAAAAAAGAGATAGGGTTACTGCATGAGCAAGACGTTTAAAAACCTCTTGATCTCTCTGTTTTAGACCAATCAAGACGTCTAGATCAACATGAATACTATGGATCATACATAGGACGGCTTCTGGTTACTAAGTGCTATGTTTTTACCACACTATATCATCAAAGCTTGACTTATCCATTACATACTTTGACTCCACGTTTATACTTCTTTCAATAGCTTCTGGCTAATTATGCACAATTTGGTTCAGAAACTGTAGCTGAATTCAAAGAATTTACTCTCTACACTTTCTGTTGTCAATATTTCCTAATGTGGAAAAAAGAATAGTAGAAACATGCCATTACATCTTTATTTTAGTTCAACAAGCATGGAAACTTGATACACATGAACCAGCAAACATACAGCTACAAACAGGGGATAACTAGATAAAATTTGAAATTCCAGGTTGTCTTATCCGTAAAAAAAATCATAATTATATTGTTTTAAAACTTTGGCAATAAGAAGCTTAGATAAGAAGTATCTTCCATCAGCTGGAGGTCAAAGCAGATGAAGAATAATAATGTACCATATAGATCAAAACAAAACTGACACTACCAATTACCAAAGACAAGTTCAAACAAAGAAGTTAGCTTAATTCGTAAATATTATAGTATATAGATCAGAAAAATTTTGGCAATACCAAAAGGAAGCTCGACCAATGAAGTTGGCTTAGCTCGTAATCCATATTGTTTGCATCTTTCATTTAACGTTTTCACTAGCTCTTCAAGATCAGATTGTATCTTGTCCACTCGATCCTAGAAATAAGACGAGGCATTAGCTGAACTAATTAGGCATTACAAAAGCAAGTATATCATATGCAAAGTCTACCTGAAGAACACCATCGGCAGTTCCACCTTGTTCCATTTTAACTATTGCATTGTATAATTCCAGTTTTTTATCCTATAAACAGATATTACACATTGAAACCAAACAGAAAACAAATAAATAACCGGTTAAACAGAAAAATGAAAAGTTGTGATCATGTTTGCAGTAATAAGACATTTCCTTAGGTAACACAATGAGTACCTGGATATCACGAAATGTAGCTTCATCTAGTGTAAGCTTTGACGCTACATCTCCAACATTCTTATATTTGTCTTCATATTTCCTCGCCAAAGATTCAACCTAAAGGAGGTTGTGGTCATATACAATGAAAACCTAAATTAATACATAAAATGATAAAAGTTCTGTAAAATCATTCAGTAAACTAAGAAACAATTTACTCCCCTAAAAGTACATGATCACTATTTACAAGCTATGTACACCGCAAGAAACATAAAGCTGGTTACAGAACTGTTCAATCAAGAGGACAATGCAGCATCTGAACCCACTGTTTAATCAAGAGGACATGCAGCATCTGAACCCACCAAATATCAAATACCTTGCACATATAGAATAGGAACACGACTTAAAAAATATTACCTCACGTTTATCAGTAGAGATCCTTTCCACGATTTCATTTAGCCTGTTGTCGCACCTACTTTTGTATAGAACCTAACGAACAAAATAATCAATATTACTATATCAGAGAAAGAACTCGATACTAGGAAAATTTTTATTTTTCTAGATAAGCAGTACAATAATAGTATAAAGCTCATAACACATGTATATTTAACTAGTTTATTCAAATAATAGATGATCACAGCTAAAATAATTTTAGAATTCCGAAGTTGAGAACTTCAGTAGATAAAATAATTTTGCAGAGCACAATCTTATGAACTGTTCGCAAAATTAGCTCTTATAAAGCATCCCCACAATATTACAATGCTATATCTTCCCTACTACTAAAATGAACTGCAACATAAGAAACAAAGACATGGCTGCAAACATATGAACACATAAATGACACAACAAGACATGATACAGTGTCCCAAAGAATATAACGAGAACTATACACAGATATAACAAAACAGAGCCATAATTGTCATGTGTTTTATGTGTGTCCTTTACAATTGAAGTGCCAATGCTTCAGACATTGAAATGTATATATTCATGGAGGAAACTTATGTGCCTATACGAATACCTAAAAAATTGTTTGAACTCAGCAATGGACCAAATACATGTGTATACAATCTCAAGCTGAGCGTACATATTCACAACAATTTGGAAAGCAGATAAGCGCAAAAGGCATGGCACAGATTTCAGAAACTTAGCAATAACAAAGTATGAGGACTTCCAAGAAGTAATAGAGTAAACAAAAACCAGAAATAAATTGAAAACGCAGAAATTAAAATAACTAGCAAAAACAATTATGTAATTCAATTAAATCTCAAAGGCAAATATAAACATGAAGATAAAAAGAAAACACATACAACATGAAATTGAATATAATCTACCTCTCTTGTTAACGAAGCAATGGATTATCCAGTGTACAAGAGTTACAATTTCAACAAACATAGATCAAGTTGGAACTGACCAACCTGTAGTTTATTCCTGTTGAATAACATAGTTAGCCATGCTAGTTCCCTATCTACATAAATTATTCAAATAGTCCTATAACAACCTTTTTTTCCATAAAACATCTAAAATTTAGCCTAATTTAGAGAAAACTTCTATATTAAGGTATTCTATGTATTTCTCATTGACAACTTAAGAAAATAGCATCCACTTTCACATTTATATTTTGCTACCTTTCATGATCTCATCTTCACTCATAAATTATAATACAGCTGACCTTGGTTGCTGCTCCTTTCCCTGATTGGTTAATACTCCTTTCCATGACTGTTAGCTGACTTATGTGGCATGATTTGTAAGTAACACCAAAAAGGAAATGATGCTGCTCTACATGAATGTGCAGTTGTGCAGTGTAGACTACTTTTAAGTATGCTATTAACTACAAAATGAAAAGATTGGACACAAGAACTGTGAGTAGCCAACAGCAAATTGAAAAAAAACAAAGCCAATCAGCTGAAAAGACTATACCTAGAAATGCTACTTTGAATTAATTATATAAACAAGCCACAGGCCACAGCAGTAAAGCTATTATCCTTATTTGCAATGACATGAGGTATGCACAAAAATTTCAGATCACATAAGAATATGGGGGCACTCACAAGTTCCTGCATCTTAGCGCGATAAAATTCCGTCTTCTCTTTGGAATCAAGGATCTCCTTCTCCAATTCTTGTACCTTCCATCAAAGAAGAAAAGGTAACGATATTTGATATAACAAGGAAACCACGAAAAGCTCTTAGGCAGGTTCAAAAGCCAAGACATATACATATTAAGAATTAACTACGTAAATATATGTGGCTAATGCTAACAGGTACTTTCAAGCTGAATTCAAATGGACTCTAATACCATTAATCAACTTCAAATTACAATTAATCTTTTCCATGTCCGACATCCGGTGCAACATGTTTAGATTTTTGAAGATAGGCATCATAATTGGCACCAAATTTTGTAACTATGACACCCCACCCCAACCCCGCAGGAAAAAAGAACACACAGTGTACATAAGTACTGCACACGAGGGAGGGAGAGGGGGAGGGAGAGGGAGAGGGAGAGAGAGGGAGGGAGAGCCTTCTTCAATAACTTTTTGGCGGACATAAACTCGAAGACTCATATAAAGTGTCAAAACAACATATTTATTTGTAGAAATTTTTCTCCATATTTTCTGATTTCCTCTTTGTTCAAAATTCACTCCAATCCCCCTCTCCCATTTCTGATTTTCTGCCTACACTTTCTCTTCAATTTGAAAAATTGGTGCCTTTTGCATTCTTAAGCCTTCTAAAGCCCTTAACACTTAAAAGTGGACCTTCCGCTTAGATCCACTTTTCGATTCCACAACCTTGATTGACTATGATAAGACATTGACATGAAGGGAAGGGTTTCAGATATAAACGTGTGAGAAGAAATAACGTGGGAAGGTTGCATGAGGCTTTATCCTTGTTTATTGAGAAAATATCTGACTATTTCCAATAAAGTATCAATAAGCTCTAGCTAAAGCATCTGAGAAACAAAGCAATACGCTTTAAAACTAAGAGATGATAATTCGAGGATATAGATAAACATCTAGCAAACCAGAAATCAAAATGTACTAAACCATGGCACCTAATAGTTGACTATTAAGGTTCAGCACTAATAATCCCATATTAGCAGTATGTATAATATAAAAAGTGATTATAGCTTAAAGGTAGAGAAGCACCAACCAAATGCGAGACCGAATTCACTAAACCAGTGATCTTATCAGCCACTATTTAGGTTCAGCATTAAGTATATGTATAACATTAGTAGCATGTATATTAAAATTGACAATAGTAACAAACAATACTTCAGGCGAGAAAAAAATCAAATAAATTGGCCTGTTGCTGTAGGAGAAAAAAAAAACCTTTTTGTCTGCATCTGTTGCTTCTTGGAATTTTAAGTTAATTGTTTTCTGCTCATCCTCACTGAGTTGGTTTACCAGATTCTTTTCCAAAACTGGTACTCTTGCCTTTTGTTTCTGCGGCACTGGTTCCTCAGGTAGAGATGGTAATGGAGCTCGAGGTGGCTTCATCATGTTAGAAGCCATTACAGGCCTTGGACCAGGAACTCTTTGCTGAGTTGATACTGAACCAAAAATAAATAAATAAATAAAATCATGAAACAATTTCTGTTGCAAAAAAAATAAAAATAAAGATGATGATGCTCCTGTGCATTGGGTCAAATCTGAATGCATCATGATGAACTACATGCTCGTGAATGATAAAAAAAATTACCTTGATTTTGCTGCCAACTGGAACCACTATAAGCATTTGAGGATTGACCTGTAGCCAGTGATAATGTTTCATCAAACCTTAAGCTATTTGGAAGAACGGCTGGAAGTGGACGCCCTTCACGGTAGCGCTCCATCAAATAAAGGGCAGTACAGAACTCCCTCAGTGAAAGCATGCTATCATTATCCTGGTCAGATAAGTCCCAAACCTGCTTTAAGACCTCTGAAAGATGCATGAAACAAATATCATTAAATAGAAATAATACGTATATCATGAAGACTATCACCTTAAATCATGAAGTAGCACATTATGCACTCTTTCAGACATACAAGACAGTATAACTAAAAAAATTATATAACACCTATGAGGTAAATAATAGACAATAAAGCAAGTCACAAAATCCAAATTAGAGACGTGGAGGTGTTCTTTTCGTTTTGGGGGAGGAAGGGAGCGAGATACTCACCCAACCTCTCTGTGCAAATATGATGATAGTAAGTTTTACTTTTTTAGATGATGATATAAGACAGAAGATGTTGTGCACAACATTGCTCTAAATCTCACAGGCGAGTGCAATTCTAAGTAGCATATTGTCTTATTCTCATTGAATAGTTCAAACCAAGTGTGAGCAAGATAGGCTTCCATTCTAGCTGACTTGACTTCTGGGTTCCGTACCACGCCCCACTTTTGATCATCCCAGGAACTAAAAGCAACTCGAGGAGTTTTGATTAATTAACAGCTGGTCTAGAATTTGGTCAAATTGTGTGGACCTTCATAACTTAGTGTTATAATCCACAGTTCACCATACTTTCACAGGAAAGACTTTGATGGTGATAGTGATACTGTGAGAAACCTCCCATCATTTCTACAACTGATCAACTCAATACATTAGTACATGAAATGCCAAATTCCAAACAACCCTTCATTGAAAAATGTTTACCTCTGGGTAGTCTCCAACTAAGGAACAGATTGCGTGCTTCTTCTCCAGTGATTTTTCCATCTCTGTCCTTATCTACCTCCACAAACACCTTAGTGTACTTACGAATATCAAACTGAGTAATCTTCGGCCATGGAACCTGAGAATCACTAGAAATGGGAGTCGAAGGTCCAACTGACAGATTTGATGTAGCCAAGGCCAATGTGCCTTGTGCAGTGTCTCGTTGATTTTGCTTTACCAATGGCTGACTTTGTAACTGACTGCCACCTTGATAAAGGTGCATAGGATTGGGTTGGCCTGGCTTAGTAAGATTCTGGGATGCAGAAATGATGTTGGATGAACCAGACAAACTGCTGGAAGAAAAGGAAGATGTTGAGGCTTCCTGCTTAGCTTGAGGAGCAGCAGAAAACATATCCTCACCAAATGCTGAATCAGATGCAAAACCATTTCCAGACAGAACTAGTGCTTTTGAATCAATAGAAGCAGGTTGCGATGATGGCAAGGCTGAATCTACAGGATTTGGCTGAACTGAAGAAGAAAGAATGGGTGCTTTTTGCTTTGCAGCTACTCCAGAAGCCATCCCCAATTGTTCTAACCCTGATCCATTTTGGCTTGCAGGAGCAGCTCCTCTAACAGGAAGTTGTGCAGTAGACCTAGCAGCAGCTCCACTATTCCTACCAAGCCAATCAGTTGATAAATTCGGTGCACTTGAAGATGGAAGACGTGGACCAGTTATACCTCCCCCAGAAGGAGCTTGACCAAGTCCTTGCATTGGAAGTGAAACAGTAGTTGCCGTGGCTTGAGGTGGCCTCATCAAATGGTTATTAGGAGAAGGAAACGACTGTTGATTCATGCCCATATTGGGAAGGGCTTGTTGTCCCCTGACACCAGGATTTTGATAGACACTTGGTCTCACAGCTCCCACTTGTGTGGACGGTGGCATGGCATTTGCCTGGGTTGTAGAAGAAGCCATGGAACTCATCTGTGCTGAAGGAGCAGGCACCGGATTTATCTGAGGCGCAGGAATTTTAGCTGCAGCTGGACCAAGTGCTGCCTTCACAATATCTGGTGTTAGTTCTCGCCCACTTTGGGCCACTGTTATAAGTCTCAATGCATTGAAAAACTCTGGGCGACCAAGAAAAGCAGCTTGGTTATGATTTGCGTGCATCCATATCTACAAGAAATCAAAGTAATTTGGTTAATACTGCATCCATCAACACATCAATACTAAAGAAACAGAATACAAGCAATGAAAAAAAAACAACTAAATAACTTTTCCGCAAAATGTAACAACGCAAACTCTATGTATCGATGAATAGAACGGCATACCTTTACTCATCGTGATAATAAGTTCTGGAATTTAGATGTACATGCCAAAAGAAAGTGAACAAAACACAGCAAATAATCTTCTGTGATGAGCAAGATTCCAGGATTATTGACTGAACTCATTGTTGCCACATATTATAATCCTTTTCTACCTAAGACCAGTATAAAAATCACACAGCCATAGCCAAATACCCGCTAACTTGCCTTGACAAGCTAAACTAGTTACTTATATCCTAACTCCTCAGTTATCCTGACACCTTGTCTGGGCTCCAGAACCCATGTCCAACAATTGCCGGCTCCGACACTCCTTGAATATGCATACATTCATTTAGATGTGTACTCAACTGCATAGTACATGTTTTAGAGTAGAACACTTGTCGTACACTTCTTGAGCATGTATCTTATACTTCACATCCACTTCCTACAACTCGTTGGACACTAATCGCGTTCATTAGCCCTTATCCAGTTCAAAAGTATGATTTTAAAGGGTATTTTACGTATCTAGTGTAAACAGGAGCTGTTTTCCAAATTACCCTCTACTTAATAAATGAAACACAAAAACCTCATAAAAGTGTTATTTTCAATAACATGTGAATGAAAAAACAAAATCGTGAAAAAACAAAATCGATCTCATATATGTAATTAATTTCAGTATGTATATATAACCATGTCTCGATATATCTATACTACTATAAAAAGATGATTGGGGTGTTAAAACTTTTAATTTTCCTTTTTGCCCTCTCAAATTTTGATAAATTCTAACTATGTCATTATCTCTAATAAATCTTTCATTAAATAAATATAACCTCTTATTAATTATGCACCTCCTCACCTTCCTAAATAACTATAATTATCAATAATATTATAACTATTAATTGTTTAAATAAAATATATTATAAAATAAGTATACACAATTATTAGTAGTAACCAATTAAATTATTATAATAATTATTTATGAATTAAAATAAAATAATTAAAATAATAGTATAAATAGAATAATATATTACTAAATACTATTAAGAATTATACTATAATTCAATGAGCAATAAAATAAATAGAATAAATTTTGATTCACATAAATAGTGTAATTATTTTAATATTATCACATAAATTATGAATTATACTATTTATTTAGTATTATATTACTAAAAATTAAATTAATTAATTAATATATATTTTTACAGTATTTTCTCAAAAATTATTAGATGATACTAGTAAATCTATACTTGGTAAAGATTGAAAACTAACCTTTTTTACGACAAAATTATATAATATTAATAATAATCTTGTTAATTGTTAATGATAGTACAATAAAAATTTATAAAATATTTATAGTACTAAATTGTTTAAGAGCATAATTAAAAAATTAAATTAGATAAACATTTTATAGTAGATACACAATATAATTATTTTAATAGTATTACTTGAACTAAGAATTATAATATTAAATAAGGTAAATTACAGTAAACCCCAATGAACTTTCAGCATTTTACAGTAAATAAACTCTATGCAATGTTACAGGAGGCGCTAGATAGACTACGCATTTGAGTCAACGCCTAGCACCTAGACGCCTAGGCATTTGGCTATTTTTTAAATTATTTAATTATAATAATTGATAAAAATATGTATTAAATTTATATAAATTTGTCAAAAAAGATAGCAATCTTAGATCAACAATAACTCATGCGTACTTAAATACTAAATAGCCAAAATAATAACTAACAAGGTTATAGAAAGCGCTAGGAGGTCTAGGCGTTGGACCTGATGCTTAGAGTCTAGGAGGCTTTCTTTTTTTATTTTTTAATTATAATAATTGATAGTAAATGTTAATATTATAGAAAACTTAGGTGTCGGACTAGTGTCTAGGCGAATTTCTTTCTTCATTTAAGTGGTAGTCGAGGAGGTTTTGCTAATGGTTGAAGGAGATAATGAACGTGTTCATATTTAGAGGTTAAAGGAGTTTGAAGGAGGCTAAAGGACGTGGAACCTACAACACAGAAAATTACGATCAAGGCCTAAATGGTGCAGTCCACGTTAGCCGACAATGCTCCCCTAAACACTCCCAAAATCTAGGTGGGCAACATAGGTAACGCCTAAGTGCTAGGCGCTAGTTAGACGGTCTTGATACTACCTAGGTCTAGGCGTACGCCTAGGCAGACTAGACGAAGGTTTTTTAAAATAGTGACTCTATGAACTTTCGAAATCACACTGAACCCCTAATAACTTTTGTAGAAACCCCCAATATCTTTTAGATAAATTATACCTAACCCCCAAAAACTTTCAAAATGTCTTGTTATGCCATTCTCTAGTTCTAATTTATAGGGGTTATTTGTAAAATTTAGAAAGTTATTGAGGGTCTTCTTTGAAATAGAAAAAGTCATTAGGGGTTTAGTGCAATTTTGAAAGTTCACATGGGCTAAAAGTACATAAGGATTTAGTGTAATTTACCCTATTAAATAATTATAATGAGAAGTAACTATTGTAATATCGCAGGTATTAAGTGTAACTATCTAGAAAACATCAGAAAAAAACTAGCAAAATTAATGCAACTTAGTTAATTTAGAGTTAACAACTTTTAAGTTAGAGGGGCATATTTAAGAGAACTTATAGAATTGACGGCTTCATTTAAGAACAATTTTAAATTTGGGGACTTATTTAAAAAAAAGGTTAACATTGGGTGATCATTATAAGAAAAATATTTAATTACAATAACTAAACAATAATAACTAATTCATATATTTCTTTTTAAGCAATCTTATTATACAATTTTATTTATTAACACATAGTTTTACTATTCAATAAAAAATTCAAAACTTAAAACATGTATATTCACATACAAAGCACGTGCATTATACGAGTCCTACTAAATACAAGTTTACTGTGCCTTTGTAGCTGTAGTTGCACCTGTGTAACCTGTGATTTTTTCTATAAGATGCCTCCACATTCACATAAATAACAACACCATAATCACAGAAGAATACGACCAAGTCTAGCTGTTTTTTATTTTTATTTTTTAATACATGATGATAATCATCAGAATAGAATTTTTGTTATCATCCATTAAAAAGAAAAGGATATATATATATATATATATATATATATATATATATATCATGATGATATTATGATAAAAAAAAAAGTCCAGCTATTTAAATATATCATTACTATATTTAAAAAAAAAGTCTAGCTGTTTAAATATATCATAATGATATTACGATATTACAGACAACCCCTTTCTTTTAGTGAATTGTATTTTAAAATATATACATAACTGAGTCTGCATATCTAATTATGACCTGTGTATTCTATGTTACCAGGACATGCAGAACCATATACCATTGCAATCTAGACAACATATTTCATGAATCTATGTTATGGAATATTAACAATTTGAAATGGCAGAGAAAAACATTTTATACAGGATGAGGAAAAGTTACTTCAAACCAACTAGGAAGAGAGGAGACGAATTGGACATTTTGTTAATAAAGAGAAAGAGAAACAAACTCTTGGTAAGATTCTGCATAATCAAACTTATATCCCGAAATAACCACTGCTTCACGACCTTACAAAGAGTAATTGACATACCAGGTAATGTACCTCATTCAAGCTAAGCAATCTAAATATTCCCTCTTCATCTGTACCAAGATCGCCAGGAGCCCAAATACGCAAGTGATTCACATATTGACTAACCATGGAGGCAGCATGGATAGAATTATTTCATGCTTCATCCCATGATCCTTAGGTTGTTGAGCTAACAACATCTACCAAGCCATTTTTAGAACAAATTTGAACATCATAATGCAGCTCTACAACCAGAACTATCAGAGTTGGCATCTTCACTAGATTTCGTAGTGAAAAGGAGTAACCTAATCTCGAACCACATCAGATCAAAAATATACCCTTCCACTTGATGCAAAATTGATAATAACAGAAATCCACCTGGTAGGTCTGTATCATGGTCTCCTGATGGGAACAGTATTGTCAAACTTCATTTTCTGAAACTAGTATAATGCTAAATTGGATCTACGGTTCACAAAAAAGTATCCAAGTGTTGATTTAAAGCAAATCAACTAACAGTTGTATAATCACTCAACAACAAAAAATGTTAACGTTTGAGGTTCCTACCATCACAAACCCCCAAAAATATCGTCCAATTTAAAGCAAATCAACTCACAGCTGTATAATCACTCAAAAACAAAAAATATTAAGCGTTTGACGCTCCTATTATCATAAAACCAACAAAAATATCATCAAAACTATTCGATGTCATACAATCTAAGAAAGACATAAAGTTACTACAATCTCATGACTGGATCTTCCATACCACTTCCAAAGAAAGAACAAACACACATACGTATTACTTATGACTAAAGACCTTCAGTTTGAATTTCTCGCAACTTCCGCAAAAAAGAAACTAATACTGCAAGATATTCGCGCCAGCGATCAAAATCGCATCAAATGGATTCCCTTCGAAATAACTTCTCAAAATTCTTACAGAAGAGAGAGGAGAACACCTGCTCTAAGACGCGATTGGGCAACTACTCAATCTACATGGCAGATCTGCATCAAGGTCTCTTGACTGGAACACTAATGTCAGTCTTCACTTTCTAAAACTAGTAAAAAAATCCAAAACTGGTTCTACCATTCACGAAAGGCATACAAGTGTTAATTCAAGGCAAATCAACTCATAAATCATTTCCAAAAGCAGTATAATCACCCAAAAGCTAAAAATGCTAAAATTTCACTACAGAAACCAAAATTACATCAAATCGATTGATTTCTTCACAAGTCTCCAAATTTTATCTGAAGAAAGAGAGGATCACACCTGCGCTAAGACATGCTGGGGCAAATTCGATCCTCGGAAGAAGGCAACAGCCTCAGATCCGCTAATTCTCCCGTCCTGATCCAAATCCGCTCGCTTGAACATAACCTCGAAGTCGTTCATGTTAGGGCTTTGGGGCGGTCGAGCTGCCGCCATTTCCCACAAAAATCTCTGAGATCGGCACCAGAGATCAAGATTTCCACCTAATTTAGGACGAAGATGAGGAGATCTTGGATCGTGAGGTGCTACGATCGGGCGAATGATCGAGAGGATCCTCGATGAATCAAGGATTGGAGAGAGGAGAGAGAAAAGGGAGACATTTGGGATTTGGAGAGAAGAGAGTGTATATGAAAAGGGACGAAATTACCACCGGTTACTTTCGGTAATAACGAAGGTACCCTTGATTTAGATGCCGGTGCGGTACAACAGAGACAAGATGACGTGTCGCCTAAACTTTACTTATTCCGCCATAAACATTTTCACTATACTTGGATAATGTTTTTTAAGAAAGATTATTTTTATATGTACTCTTTTAGATCCTAGTTGAGATGCATTTGTAATGCACGTGGTTGAATATCATGATTATTTAAATTAATAAAAATAGAGTAAAAATAAAAAAAATAAAGTGTTTTGTGAGATTGATCATCAACTCAATAATCTCTCTCTCCCCAATATCTCAATTTATTCGTATCTTGAAGTTTTCAAGACATTTGTGATCATTCAATTCACAAAGAAATTTTGCATATGAATTTACTTATAATATGTCTATTAAACTTTTACTTATGGTTTGACTCATGTTCACGTTAATTTTTAGTTGTTGTTTCACTCATATTTATATTAGCTAATGTTCTCATTCAATTTTATAGCTCATTATCTGTATTATAGAAGTAAAACTGAAAGTATAAAGAATTTTTTTCTTGTGAAATTAGAGCAGGGAGATTATAATATATTTTGTCATGTGCTCTAAATATAAAAATTTCTTTTTCCTTTGATGCAAGCTCCCTATCAAATCTTACCACAAATGATGTGAATGAAAAATATTATTATAACTCACTTGTCTAGGGTAATTGTATTGTATATAGGACACATAACTCATCTGGAATATCCACATATGCTAAGTGGATTTTGCTGTTGTGAGAGCAACATGGTGGACACTCGTATTCAAACTTTTTGGTTCTATAAAAGACACAAGAATTTGAAGTGCATAGATTATATATCATAAAAAACATATTGGTTCATGAAGAATTTTTCCTAATAATGATAGTATTACAACAATAATATTATTCAATATTAAATTAATTTTATTATATAAGATTATATGACCATTTTTAATAAATTATAAAGTATATGTATGGAAACCTTGATGCTTATACCCAGTAGTTGGGCTCCAAAAAATGGATTAACTTTACATTATAGTTTACTATTTGTAGTGCTATTGGCAATGCTATTATCATTCCTCTTTGTTTTATTATTCACACTTTTTTTTATGTAAGTTCCCTTTTGCTAATCACTCAATTGGTTATATTTAATTATTATAATATCAGAGGATAGAATATTATTTTTTATTTAAAAAGTGTTACCATTATTTTTTAAATATATATATATATATATATATAGTAGCAATAGTATATACTTCAGTTCAACTCAAACATTACCTTGAATCCATTTAGAGTGAGGTCCTTTCTACGCTAGAATGGTGATATAGTGATTACACAGTTCAAAAGTCAAAGAAATAATTTCTGCAAAAAAATAATAATTTAATATGTCAAATTAAGAACTAATTTATAAAATATACATGTACAGTGCAAATAGCTATAGAAAGTAAGATATATATCTTTATGAAAAATTCCCTAGTGAGTGACCAACTACAGTCATCCTAATTTAAACATAAATAATTATTATGTTAGTTACTAATTTGACACACGTAACTGCGGAATAGATCTCAAGCCAAAAATAGGATTTGAGATTGTATTATGCTGTAGATAAATAAAAAATGTCATTACAGCTCATCTTTATATTAAATGTAAAAGTAATAATTTAAATTATTAAACACCAAATATTAGCTCACGTGAGAAAGTAAAGTAATCTATAGTCTATATGTATATATAATCAATCAATCAAACGTATTAAAATTATGATGACCATAGTCAAAATTATATGGTGGATCACATTAAATATAATTTATAAAAAATAGTACATTAAAGTTAAAATCTTTTTAACCACTATATAGATTGTCTAAATTTTTTTACATATATAAACTATACTACCTAAGAATAGTGATATGCACACTTAATAACGGTCTAATAATCTTAAGAACGACTTATTCTATAAAATCATCATTAATTGACGTATCTGTGCATTATATTAAAAACACGATAAAAATTTAGAAATTTACAAAATAAACACTCTCAAAAGTTTTGAAACTTATAAAAAAACACTCTAAAATTTTGTAATTTATAAGTACACAAAACTATTAAACATTACATTGAAATTAAGGAATTACAAAAAAAATTTAAAAATTTTTAAAATTTGGAGGGGCAATTTGCATGTATTAAACTTTAATGGTGTTTTTTTTGTAAATTCCTAATTTAATAGATTTTCAATTACTTATGTTCTTTTCAAAAAAATCATGTGTAATATTGACCACGAAAAGTTTTTCCTAAACCAATACATTTAAAATGTGTATGATATTTTTTGTAAAATTTTAATTTTTTAGGGATTGTCAGTAATTTTGCATATTCATTTTAGTGTCTTTAGGTTAGAAATTCACATGGTGTTTTTTTATAAATTATGAATCTTAGGTATTTTTTATAAAATTTTAAACTTATAGGCCTTTTCTACAGATTGTAAATTGTTTATAGACTATTTATACTTCCTATGCTTTTAATTTACTAATGAATTTGAAATTCTCAGTGTGTTTTATGTAAATTTTGAGTTTTAAAGTTTTTTTTTGTAATTTTTGTAACCTTAAGGGTGTTACTATAAATTGTAAATTATGTAGGGGATATTTATAATTATCATATTTTTAATATACTGTTAGGTTAGAAATTATCAGTATTTTTATAAATTTTATAATTTTGAGGGTTTTTATTTTGCAATTTTTAAAAGATTTAGAGTGTGTATTGCAAATTCCATAAATTTTTGAGGGTTGTTTCTGTTATTTGTAGGTTTTTAGTATGTTTATAGGTTTGAAATTTTCAAGGTGTTTTTTATAAATTTTAAAATTTTAGGGGTATTTTTGTAATTTTTAAAACTTACAAGATATTTTCTTCAAAGTTGAAAAACTTTCAGTTTCTAGCTAGTATATGTTTTTTAGATTTCTTACTAAATTAAAATAAGTAAAATTTATAATTTTTAAGATACTTTAATAAAATTTTAAATTTGTAGGGGAGTTTTTACAATTTAAAAACTTGGAGAATATTTTTTATAAAGTCCAAAAACTTTTAGGTGCTGGTTAGCATATGTTTTTTAGATTTCTTAATGAACTGAAATAAGTAAAGAATTTGAATTATACGAAACGTATCTCTTTTATCCAATAACATGTTAAGTCTCATTATGAATAAAATAAATTATTTAGCTGCCAATTCAATAAAGATAGAATAATTAGAATATATTAGGATAACAATGTAATATTCAAAAAAGCTAAGAGTAATATTGACCATAGAAAGATTCCTCCGAACTCGTACTTTTTAAGGAAGTATGATATGATTTGTTCCTTAAATGTTTAATAATTTCATGTTAGTCACTCATATCTGGAAATTGGATGCTAGTCTCTAAAATTTGCAAAATGGCCATGCAAGTTAAATTTTATTTTAGATTTGAGGGGAATATTCCATCAAATCTAACTATGGGAGGCAAAGTGACTGTTTAACCCCTATATTATGCCCGCCACCCTGTTTCTTGATGGTTTAAACCAATACCCGCTTAAAAAAAGAACCAAATCCACTTTAGTTTTTCTTCTGCAATGGTTAAACCTAATCCAAAGATGAGTTTCACAAAGGTTTGAAACATCGACATAGGTAGTTTGATGATTGCACATGTTAGGTTTGAAGTTAACCCAACCATAGTTACGTTTTAAATTGAAATACTAACTAAGGGACAATTTTGCAAGACCCTTAAGATTTGAGGGCCTATAATGCAATTTCTAAGATTTGAGTGACTAATATGAAATTATGGAAGATTTAAGGGACTAATATCTGAAAAATCCTTATTTATATGATTTCAAATCAACGAATGTTTTTTCACAGAAGACGACAAACTTTTGATACAATGGTACATGACAATAATAACAACAAGAAGCTAGTTGGTGTTAAATTATTTATATCACTTATTAGTTTATAAGAAGTATGCGGACTATGCCAAGTTATTATTGATTGAAGGTTGACAACGACTCATACTAAGTTTATTCGCAGACATGGTCTTGACAAACTCCAAGTTTTAAACTTATAATTTCATTTCATTTTATTTTTGCGAGTTTGGATGTGTCATGTGAAGGGGGAAAAAATCCTTACCTCTATTATTTGTTTGTGCTAAAACTCCACTTTGACATTAGGCGCTGCTGATCCTAGATCTCCACACTTAGGGCACGTTTGGTTACGGGTTTTGGAGGAGGTTTTAAGCCCGAAAGCCTGCCACAGTGTCCCATCTGTGGCAACTTTCGGACAAAATCGTCTTTTTTTATAGACGATTTTGCCCGAAAGTTGTCACAGATGGGACACTGTGGAAGGCTTTCGGGCTCAAAATCGCCCATCCAAACGCGCCCTTAAGTGAAAAGGGAAAAAGAAATATTTTATCATGGTTATATAATAAACAACTTAGAGGTTCATTAACATAATCACACCAAATAAGAAAATGTAAAGGGGTACATACAAATTAGTCATTTGCCGTTTATAGGCAATGTTTCCCTCCAATTTAAAAATTTTCTCCTCTAACATCTCAGTTTGTTCGACGATTACATAAACGTGGAGGGTCTATTAGGAAAAATTTAAATGATAGTTGAGAACGATTTTGTGTGATGAAAACATTCAGGGGGTTACGTGCAAAAAGCCTCCCAAGCGAGGAAATAGCCGCCGTTACAATTCATCAGTGCCTTCAAATTTATTATATTTACACTGGCCTCAAACCCCAAACCCTTGCTCTCCGATTCCATTGAAAAAAAAAGAAAAACAGATCTTTTTACATGGAGATGATGGTGAAAAAGTTTCAGCAGAAGTATGCTAGGGTTCGAGACGAGATGGGGAAATGGGACGATCTTCAATCTCGTTTAATCTCTCAGTTCTCAAACGCCGCCTCGATCGTAGAGCGATTGCAGGTAACTTTTATGATCAAATCATCCAATAGAACAATCCCAATGAATCAACCAATCAATCGGACAACTGTCTTCAAATCCCAGAAAAAGTTCGAATTTTTTTTCCGTGAAAATTGTTCATTTATGCAAGCAGGTGCTGGGAGAAGCCAAGAATTATGGTGGGTTGCAACGCGTGCCCGGAATTAAGGAGGCGGTCCTTGGGAAACAGTTGGAAGCATTGGAAATGATCTATTTCTCCATCAAAGAAACAATGTCAAATGCTTTCGCTTTTCAAAATATCGATTTTTTTTTGTTAACCTTGCTCTTGATATTTAGATATCAATTGGGTATCATATCTATTATTTTAATCTCAGTTATTATGGTTGGCTACCTTTTCATGTCCATTAGTTATTATTCTGTTTTATGTTATTTGTATTCTTTGTTCTTGGATTACATCGTAATAGAGATGACTATATCAGAGTAGTTACTTGTCCTAAATCAGAGACCTATTTAAATGTGACTACCCTCTCTATGATAAAATACACAGTGGTCCTATTGAAAAACATGTTATATAGGCTGTAGGCAATGATTTCTCACTTTATGGTTCTCTCTTCATAAATATGGAAGGACTGAATTGAGTTATAGCTCGCGACATATATTCCTTACTGTCTTTGCTGATCTGAATACTCCGGAAGTAGGATACTAACCTTTAGTCCTTGAGCACCGGTATACCTTTTTGAGAAAATTGGGCACTTGTGTTGCCCTTCAACAATTTGTATTATTATTAAAGTAGTTGTTTGAAACTCCAAAACATATTTAGCATGTATATAAGTATGTAATAAGTTATGGTCAACCAATGTTTCTCATCAATCCATTTAACCTTTCTTGGAACAAATCAGGAAAGAATTTCATGGGATTGTCTCAGCGCTTGATAAGATTGCCCGGGATGGAGGCCAACTTTTGAAGGGAGGATCAACACCTACCACTCACCAGATGCGACAAAGAATTGGAATAAAGCCAAGTCTTGCAGACTGCCTAGATGGCCTTAGATCAATACACGATATGTACAAGTCTGAGTAAGTATGAGTTATCGCTTTTCTGTGCTTTTAAATTTATGTTCAATATCCAAATTTTGATTTTCTCTTTCTTATCCTTTTTATTTTGAAATCCATGATATTAATGCATAGAATATTAATCATGTTACAAATCTTTTTATTAGAGATAGAATCTTCATATTCATGTCTGTTTTATTAGAGTACACCATATGCCTGCAGACACACACACACACGCATACACACACATGCATCACTCATGACCCTGAAATTGTTTAGTTTTCATCCAGTAATTAACACCTCATCAAGATTTATATCTTATTTTTCAACAATTGGCCAATGCCTTTCTTATTAGTGCAATGGTTTGAATTTTGCATTTGATCGTATTTGGTGCTGTTAAGTTAATTCTTTCATTAATGGTCAGTTTGATTGTGATTTTCAGGTACCTTCTTAAATCATCAGTTATATCCTCATTAACATGGAACTGCAGGTCAGTTGATCAGATGCCCAGTTATTTTCTCTTCACCTCTAAGCTTTCACTGTTATGCCAATGGCGTTAGAAGAAAAAAAAAATGAAGACTCGTGCTTCTAGTATTGGTTGTCCCGTGCATGTTTGCATATTTACTTTTGCAAGTGCATCAATGCATGTGCCTATTGATACAAAGCACACATGCTTCTAGCTGTGAAGTCGTGTCATATTGGACACCATGTAGCATGAAATTTTTGCCATGTTATTGTTGTTATGCACACATGTAGTCGTGTCAGTCTCCATGCAACATAGGCCAATTTTGTTGCATGTATGTATACTTGCAATGGTTACTTTTGTATGCCTTATATTCTGAGTGTGCGTGAAAAGTTACTTGATGCCATCTCACATGTGCGGGTGCATGTGGATTTGTGTATGATGTTTGTTAAATGCATACCTTTTCTTTTCTTTCTGGATATACATTGTTAAATGCATACCTGTTAAATGATATTGCATAATCTATGGGTTAATAAACTTGGCAACTCTTATTATGCTTCAACTTACATTTGATCCACTCGTGAATGATTCTGGGTTCCACTATCTGCAGTTCTAGTGATATCACCGCCCTACGTCAACTCTTGATGGACCAGCCCAACATCCCCAGAGATGAAGGTACAAAACGGAACAGCGAGCTACTGACATTTATTGTGCAAGAAGAGTTCATAATGTATCGTCTTTCCACACATGAAGACCAACTTGTGTTTAGTTTGGCCCTGATTGCTTGTTTCTTTTCTGCAGTGCAATCAATTTTTGACGTAATATTTGCTGAGGAGATCTGTTGAGTGCTGACTGAATAATAGATCTTGCTCAGTAGAAGATTCCGTTACTATCAAAAGGTACATGAGGATATCTATAGAGTTTTGTCTCTGTCTCCTGAAAAGGGATGGCCAACTAATCTGAAGAATTTCCAGTGCTATTGCTGCTCTTCAAATTATCATCGATCTTGATAAATCCTGGAGTCCCTATTCTTGCTTAATACAGTGTTAAAGTGCTTGGAAACTGCAGAACCTACGAGAATTTTGTTTCTATGCGTTACATATGTAAAGGGTACTATCATTATCAACTTGAGTCCATTCTTGCTATGGTAAGTTTATACCACTACATACCATGATTCAAATTGAAATCTTGTACACTGTTCTTCGCGATATAGTCCCTTTTCCTCTTTCCATGCTTTATGGGAAGGATATATTTGTTTTCTTGCTTTTATAACTTATACAACCTCAGGTACTTAGACCCTACAAGTCGTCCTCAAATTGTGAATCAAAATGACTGTTGATTGTTACTTTTTTTTTTTTGTTTTCCTCTCGGAGCTTAGGGTAGTTCTTAGATAATCAGAACACATAAATAAACTTACAGGAGCTAGACTGTTGCCTTCGATTAATTTCACGAGTACACGTCTTTGATGCTTTTGTTGGTTTCTTACTCCTGCGGTGGATAATTAAATGAAAATTTTACTCTTAAATAATTTTAATGTAGCCAGGCCATCTAAGGATGACAAGGCTTGTTGGATCAAGAAAGGATCAATGCATAAGGGGGAAAAACACCATCATGTTTTGGCATCATATTGGTCCATTAAGATAGGAATCGCAAGCACTTTCTGATATGAAGTCTATGTATTAAATTAGTCTTCGCATCCAAGTATCAACAGTAACCGGATTATAACTATAAGCTAGGTCATATGAAGACCATGAATAATGATATGAGAACTAAAAATAACGCATGGAAAAGATCAAAAATTACTATAGCAACCATGGACATTGAAACTCCTAAGTTGTATGGTAGCAAAAATAATTTATCAATTGAAGAAGCTCTAGCAACTGCATATAACATAACAACCATGGACATTGAAACTCCTCAGTTGTAGTTGGTACCTAAATGGGGGACGACATGTAGGGGGAGTGGCTCACAACTATTCAAAATTAGGAATTTGAAAACAAATAAACTCAGTTAAATTGAATTATCTTCATATGAGCTTGTCCTGCGTAAAACCAAGCTTGAACTGGACTCATTTGTTTGAACATGATCCCAGCGAGCTATTAGTTCAGACTTCAGACCCATCAAACATTGAACAAAAAGTTTTGCCAAGAACAGGGAAATAAAATTGTGCTCACAAGAGTTCTTTTAGGCAAATAAAGGACATATCAGGCATTCTAATTTCTAAAGCCTGCAATACTCTACAATCCAGCTTTGAACAACCGCAACAAAGCATCTGCATTACCAATGAAAAAAATTGACAAGAGAACTGATATCATATCTTTTACCACTTTCATGTATGGATCATAGCAGGCACTTGAGAGTTAAAAAGCGTGACAAATTTGATGAATCTACAAAAATCGTAATTCGCTCAGTTTTCTCCTACATTACATTTCTGGCTTTGAAAACAGTAGTTCATTGTTCAAAATTCTGTCCACAGTTATCTGACATGAAGTTGGTCATTTGCTTTCTGATAGCGACTGTACTTTCTCCCAGGACAAATCCCTACTGAAATAATCCATTGCAAAGAAGGTTGTGCCGTGTATATACCTTTGATATTTCAAGCCCAAATCATGGTCTTATATAGATTATAGATTGATCGGTTACTTGTCTGTCAAAAAAAAAAAAAAAAAAAAACTTTAGACATGCTCTATGCCGAGTAGCCTAGGAGAATCTGGGCCCAAAAGAAATATCCGCCTGTGTGTTTGATGTCGAAAGACCACAACGCCTTTATATGCTGTTCTTGGAATGCCATCCTGGAAAAGCAACAAACTTGAGATATAAAGCAGAAGAAAAGATGAATGCTCCCACTCAGCAGCAAGCTTTTAATGAGCGGCGCAAAACATGAACCTCAACTAAAAACCTTAGGTACTTCTAACAGTTTTCAGTCATAATATTACCAGTGCTCTGAACATAATAAATTGCGCCATGGATCTTTGACCAAAATCTAAATGCCAGACTAGGTGCTCTAATCAAAAAGTTATAGGACCCTCCTATGTGATAAAATAATTTGTATTACCAATTTAGTAACTTCGGTACAGGTCTTAGTAGAGATCATTTCACACTTCCTGTCACTAGGAATAATTTTCCTAATTCTGCAGGTTACATAGGTGAAGGATCCTGATATATTCCTAACCAGTGGACTGACTTAACATCACCAGTACCATTTATGATCTTTGGTCATAAGTATCAATTAACTTTGTAGGGATTATTTGCAATCTTTGCTGCAGGTATCAAAGTGTAGAGGTCATGGGAGTTTGAATCTTTCTGACAAAGCATAAGTCAAAGAATAGTCTAAACATAATGAGAAAGACTTCATTCTTCTGACGTTACAATGAAGCCAACTCTATTTTATTGCTCCCCACCCCTTCTGTCTCCCCGAATGCACACATTGAGTAACCAGGCAATGAATTTGACAGCACATGTAAGCTAGTTCTAACTCAGTTCTTATCTGGCACACTTAGCATTCATTACGTTTGGACATTTTTAAATATTTCAACTTTCCTGAGAAATGCAAGCTAACTAGCTAATGTTTGAGAAAGTCATGCTTAAGAAACTTTAATCATAAACAAATGACAAATGATGCTGATTGCCAAATCAGATCAATTTGAAATATCTCCAGAACAACAAAACTGAGTAACAAATGGATGTGCAATTCTTTTAACTGTATGACAGAATGTGCATGTAAAAAGAGGGGAGAGCTTGCCTTCCATTCTTCAAATACTCCAAACTGTCGTGCAATTCTTTCAAAGTCTGCCTGATCATTGTACTGAATCCTGACATCACCGTCTATATTGAATGCTTTTAAAACGGCATCAGCTCCGTAGGCAGGTTTGGCATCAGACACAATTTTTGCAAAGTAACTCAAGTATTTATCCTGCAACATTAGAAAAATTACTTGATTAGGGAATCACATATAGTTTCTTGCCACATGACAGATAAGAGTAGTATTACCTCCATCAGGTAGGCCAAGTCCATCGACTTCCAGTCAACCTTAGGCAAATGAAAATACCCAATATAAGCAACAGCAGAAGTGTAAGCAGGAACTGAAATTTAAGCACCTTTTACCTACATGAACATCATTTAGTTTAATAGGCTCCAGGTATTGCTTAAAGAACTGACCCATGCTAGAACCCTGTTTGAACGATGGCCAAAGTCAAAAGATATATGGATTAGATCAAGTGAGATAAATATACAGATAGAAGAATTGCATTGACATCTCCAATCAGCCAGAATAAGGAATCACTTTCCATATCCATGAGAGGAACAAGACATTCACCACTTCCAGAGTCTGTCCTGGCTAGCAATAAAACAGAATTTTCCTATGCATGAAAAAACTTTATCTAGGAAACCTCCCACAGGCAAACAGCTGAAACAAAATACACAACCATGCGATCTAAGAAGGCTAAATTTACAATCAATCAGTAAACTGTTACCTTTTCTTTAAATCCTCAATTGCTAACCTATAGATACCCCACAATTAGAAAACTCAAGAAGGGCAATGTGAAAGATCTATGCAGTTGACCCAGCAAAAAATTTCCTACTGACGCTTTAATGATCATGTTTCCATGATTAGATGATCTTCTCCTTACAATGCCTGAGAAGAGGGGAACACAATAAGCAGAACATAGTTATTTATCGTGCAAAGATGTGTGTCAATTGTCATCTTCCAATTCTGGATCGTTGTAATGTAGTTCATTGAAATAAATTTCCTGATAACATTGTACTGCTACAAATCCACTGTTTTTGGCCGGGGACAGCAATCAAGGAACTTATCCATGTCAAAGTTGATCTAGTATTAATTAGGAAGATACTAATCAGCAACTATGATTTGTCAATAGATAACTAATAAAAAGAATGCACAGCAAGACAAGTAATGAGAGTTAGAGAAAAAAACGCAATACTAGTGAATGCAATAGAACGGCCGCATTCAACTTCCAGTTATTTTCACGTATTGTGAACTAAATAACAATCTAGATCCACTACACATAGTCTCTAAAAGAAGAATGAAAAATAAATAGACAAACAGCTATTGAGAATAATTAAATGATGTTAGAATCCTAGGAAGATAGTGAACATACATGCTCGCCAAAATTATATGTTCTGCAAATTTCTGGGCGGATAAATTGTCGATCTTTGTGCACCTCCTTCAATCTCACCCAATCATCCCAATAAGTATAATTATGTCAAGGAGCAAACTCAAAAATTTGTGATAGAGATGCTCAAGTTATTAAATAAGAAACTGAAAAATATGGTATATAGACAAGGATATGCTTTGGGCCACTTTGGTGATAACTCATCCCATATGGATTTAGACAACATCCACCCCAGTCCGGGAAAGAAATCAGACCGATAAAGAGCTCCTGCAGCACATATTGAACAAATCTAATATATATACAACTTTCTAACTTCTATCTGAAACTAGTCTTCATGGCACAATGAACAGGAGTAAAGAGAGGGTTCAAAATCTTACGGGGATCATGAACAAACTGCACTTGTCCATTATCATTCCAGGACGAAACAGCCATTATTGTCCTACAATAATTAG